GATCTTGTTCTTCTTTGTTTTCAGCCCTTCGACCGACCGTCTGCCTCACTCCTCCCCCCCAGCACTGCCCCGCCTGGCACGCCGGATGCTCGCCGGCTCGCCAGCCGGCCGACAGACTATGAAAGCAGCCGTAGAGCGCAGGAAGAAGTGTGGAATCGAACAGGTCAGCGCGAAGTTCGGATCAGCCAGATGGTTGATTAATTTTTTCGGAGGACCAAAGGCTACCCACGCTGCTTTCTGCCGTCTTACCAGTTCTTCCTTCATGTCTTTGTTCATATTCATGGAACGACGGACTTAAATGTATGACGAGGTCTACTCGATAGGGGTACCATCAGTCTTAATTTAGCCTTCGCCGGCCCACTCAATCCTCATGATCTGCGTCTTTGTTTTGTTAGTCTGCAGCCCTACCTTCTTTCCTACTTTATTCAGTTCAGCAAGCATAGTCTCAGATTCCGCAACGCTACTTGAAAAGAGAACGATGTTGTTCGCAACCAGAGATTTGACAGGAACCGTCCATCCACACGAATGCCCTTTTCTTCCCAGTCTAGCGACTTCATGACCTAGGTCGTTGGGACAGCTTCACCGTCGCGCTACAGCATCTACTGCAGTCAGCTAGTGTCCTTATGTAGGAAGAGTCCACACCTTGATCGACCAGTACTGGCAAGACCGCATTCTTTTCGACGCTGCCAAAAGCTCTTTCATGGTCAACAACAGTAAGGACAAGAGGCTTTCGGGGTTCTCAGCATAGATCAGTGACCGGTGCGACCGCTTGGATGTGGTCCACGCAACTGAACCCTTCCCGGATTCCGGCCTGCTCTACAGGTTGAGCTTCATTTAACGTCAAGGATATGTGGGCCAGAATGTTCTTCGTGAACAACTTGTAAAGCACGTTCAACAAGCTCACTGAGCGGTAGTCGCGAAGGTCATCCCGATCCCCTCTTCGAGAAGAATGACTATCCGCGAATTTTTTCACTGGTTGGGTATCCTCTCCACTAAAGGTAGGATGTCATGGTGTTGCGAGGAGCGCATGTAGTCTGTAGGCCACCTGCACGGAGCAGGTCAGCTGAAATCTTGTCGGGGCTTGGAACTGTGCCCCTTTTCATACTCGCATTCGCAACTCTCACCTCCGATGAAGGATCCGAGATGCTGTTCCGCCTGTGGAGATTTTTGGTTTTCGCACGTGTGTCGTGAATCGGTACAGGTTGGTATAAAACCTCCGTGTAACTTCCTCCATCTCAAATCTCGATGTTGTAATTGTTCCGTCCTCTTCCTTCAACTACGAAACAGGAATACTGTGACCTGGAGATCACGATGGCATTTTCGCAGAATAATTCTGTTCATAGCTGCCTCCAGTAGTATCTTCTTCCTATATAGCTGAAGGTCCGCCGCAAGGCTTGTCCGCAGCTGATATTCGCTTGCAGCCTTTCAAGGTGTGTGGCGTTTTCGTCAAGCCTCAAGTTTCTTCTTATCATGAGAAGATCCTTCGTCGCATCTGAAATGCGGGCAGAAGTATCCACTCGAAGAAGCTTGACCTGTTCAGCACTAGTGAGGGGACCCCGAGCCAGCGCGTCGTAGTCTCCGGTAGGATCATCCAAGATCTGCCAGTTCTTTGGCGATGTTTACAGATCTCTTCCAGCTTGTACTGGATCTGATCTTAGCGCGAAGGAATCGGTGATCGGAACCACCGCAGAACACACCAACACCTAGTAAGCACACTTTCTGTTCATTAATATGTGAACCAGTTGAGCATGAATTGTGCCACTTGGAGATTCCCATATCCAATGGCGATGTTCCTTCTTCTGAGAAAAAAGGGTTGCCATAGACAAAAGTTTAGCTAGACGGTTTCCGTTGTCGTTCCTGTCCCCCATTTCCGAGCTTTCCAATCCTGGACTACTCTGATGCTTCGCCAATCCTAGCGTTGAAATGTCCAACATCGAACTCGTAGAAGGGCTTTTCGTTTTGGCTGATCTCCTCAAGTTGGTCGTAAAACGCATCAAGCTCTACTTCGTTAGCTGTAGAATGTGAGGAATAGCAGTTTACGATAGACATGGCCTTCAGGGTGCACATGTAGTAGGCGTCGGTTGGCGAAGCGAGCAGAAAGGGCATCGTGAGAATGGACGAGATGGACGACAGACGGATGCACGACAAAACCGACGTTTTGCGATGGAGTTTCTTCGCCACGAACAATCATGGTTCCATCATTCGTTCGCCGCATGTCGGTCCTCTCGCTCTTGCTTTCTTGCAGCGCAATCACATGATACTTGATGCGACTAATCGCTGCGGTTAAAAGAGACTATTTTCGAATAATATAGGAAGCAGTCTCCATGTCTTGTAGAGGGGGTGCTCTCGTGGGCCGAAATCCAAGGCGTCCTGCACGACCCGACATTCTCTCACCGGTTGCCATGCTACCTGAAGCGGGAAATGGCTGGCTCAGTGTGCAGGGTACTGAGGGTATTTTATTGCAATATTAGCGAGCTTGCTCCCTGGAGTCTTAACACTGCCTTGCCAGGACCAGTGCTGAGTCTTCACCATCGTGGCTATAGCCACTTTGGTTCAAAGGGAACTGAGCTGGGCCATTCGGAGATGCAGACGTGCCGTTGAACTATTAGTTATATATATTTATATGAATATTAACTAATAAAAAGTTATGAAGGCTCCAACGCAAATTCCTTCGAGCAGTAATAAACGTAGACGAGAGATTTCGTACCATACATTCCGACATATGATGGTAGTAACGAAAGCATGTGGCAGGGCAACAGGATGACTTTCCTCTGGTAGGTGGGTATTTCCCCGAGCGAGTCCTGGTTCTTAAAGGCGCAGTTCACTTTAAAAATGGTTTCTAAGATTTTTCCATAGTATGAAATCGAGGCCCCGTTTCATACCATAGCTGCCATTATAAGGTTGAAAAACGTCCTGTATAGAGCACAAAAAGGGGCCAGAGATTGTTTTGTGTGAATGCCACATCCATGGTGGACGACTTTCAACGGCACCGTGGAGGCTGCACCATTCACAAGGGAGCTAATATAGAAACTTCAAACATTTTGTCATGACCCATAGCGACAGTGGAGGACAATTGTGGACAGTTTCACTTTGTTGTAGTCAGCTCTTGACGCAATCGCAGGAGCTGAAATAAATACCTCTTTATTGTCATGGCCGTTACGATGATCTCGTACAACCCCTAATTTACTATTTTTTGAAGCCTCATTTTTCGTAAAATCGGCGAATTTTCTCGCTCACTTCACCACCGATGCACTACTGCCAAGCGATTCTTCCGCTTTTAGACTCGAAAAGGGCACTCCAAAGTTATCGTGCACTGTGCTTTCAATCCACAACGCGATCACTTAGAAGTTACGTACCGATGCTTCCTGCCGCGACCTCGGGCTGACGGACAAGCTGGATTCAAGCAAGGGAGCACCATCCCTACAGTTCCTCGTACGTATACCTTCTAAGCACAGCTTCGAACGCGAAGCGACGAGTCTCTCTAGGTCAAACTCCTGCGTTACTGCGGAACACCGAAGCTCTGCATTAGAGCACATGATGAAATACTGAAAACTAAAAAAAAAAAACAGAATTGCTGTTGTTACATAAGCCAAAATTACATAAAGTCGGACATGCCTACACGACTAACATCCCTTCTCACCACGTTGAGGTGGTAGACCAGCGAGCGGGCAAACTAGAGTTGTCGCTGATATTTGGATAAAACAAATCAGAGAGGATATGAAAGTGCAAGAAATTCTTTCTACACTCCTGCTTACGCTCTATGCTCCATGACCTGAAGATGAGAAGCCTTACAAGCTTGGGCGGAATTCGCTATACTCTTCTGCTTACAGTTCTGTGGTTTGGAGGTGAATTTGTTGAAGTTTATCCATCTTTATCATCCATTCGATTACGAAGCATAAGGCGATTGAGTCATGCTAGCCAGTACCAAACTCTCTTCGAGATCAAACCGCGTACAAGGATGAATTTCTAGCCTTATTTCAGTTTTTTTGGGTGAGGTGATGAGGTTGCAAGTAGTGTACTACCACACACTATGCCCCTGTTCGAATCGTGAAACGATGTTTGCTCAATCCAGTCATAATCCATATGCGCCACCCACTGCGATTCTGAATGGAATTCGATTGCTGGGAGTATACCACAGAGGAGTTTATTGAGATTGCGTTTTAAAGAGTAAAGCGTTTAGTTTTGCATTACTGCAGTCACTCCAGAAAAAAAAGCGCGCCCGCCTCTGACTGTCAATAATGTGAAAATGTTTGTTGTCGTTAATTTGGCATATTTGAAGGCACCATATGTTTGCGTTCTTCGATCTAGGAATTTCCTGGCTATTTCAACCAGTATTTTATAATCCTTTCATGAGCAAGTCAAAGAAAGAAAAAGTCGCTTTTCTAGCAATCGGGGTATTGCAATATGTGAACGCTGTTGACATCTATTGAAGGTTTAAAAGAAATTAAGCATCGGAACCTGGAAGCTTAATTACCGCATGGCTTAACCACTTCATACAACAAAAAATGGACGACTATCGAATAAAAAAGTTGTCGCCTAANATGAGCAAGTCAAAGAAAGAAAAAGTCGCTTTTCTAGCAATCGGGGTATTGCAATATGTGAACGCAGTTGACATCTATTGAAGGTTCAAAAGAAATTAAGCATCGCAGAGCAGCAAATTAAGCAGAGAACCTGAAAGCTTAATTACCGCATGGCTTAACCACTTCATACAACAAAAAATGGACGACTATCGAATAAAAAAGTTGTCGCCTAAATATCGTAATCAGTCGTTAAAGTCCATAATTTTACCTCAACAGAATGATGAGCAGCAACCGAAATAAACAGGCTGAGAGAAACGGCGAACATCACAGCTGAAAATGAGGAATCAACCGTGCTTCCTGGCATAGAAATAATTTCAAGGAAGTCAACCTGAATAGCTAAGTTGTTGAGTATCGCAGTAGTAACGAGTGGCGACTATGACTGGCCAATGAACGAGATAAAGGACATAGGAGATATCTCCGCAGTACACAACCAGCTTATTGGTAATGCAGAATGCACCTGTGTCCAGGTAAATGACTATAGCAGCAATAAATGTTGATGAGATCCTGAATTTGCAAGTTGTTAATTTCCGAAAGGTAGATTCGATGTCTAAACACGAATTTGCCCTGTCACCGTGCTAAACGAATCTTCCAAACATGATATTTCTAAAGATGTCTCCGTCCGAGCCATTCTCCCTCGTCATATACCATCCCCGAAAATTCTACTAATTGTAAGGCAGTTAATCCTGAGTAGCGTCTAGCCATGTAATATTTAGCCCCTCTAAAACTAGAAAAATGTGTAATTTCATCAAGATATCCCTTGTTCCTTTTTTATCACCTCGAAAAATACTTCCCTGCAACATAAATTAACAATGAGGCCTCTCAATCACGCAATCCGCGACACACGTTGGTCATGGGCAAAGACCCGCTTATGAACTCGTTCTCAATTCAGGATTCCCTAGGCCCAAAGTAGCTTGAAGATAACCCGCTTGCTAACGGATCAGAATTACAAATTTCGAACCTATTGACACCCAACCCTCTTGGTCAGCTGTTTTTGATAAAACCAATCCAATGCCTTGCTTCCTTTACAATTTCTTTTCTTCCCGATTAGAAACGAAGAATCATAGGGATTTCAAGTACCTTGCAAGGTGGTCTGTTACTTGCTGAGGGCTGATTATCACCAATGCCGTCAAACTGAAGAAAAGCACTGTTGCAAAGGCGACGTAAGAGGTAGATTCCATGTCGCAAGCAGCTATAATAGTGAAAATCAATCAAAATAAAATCAATCAATCAGTCAATCAGGACGATATTGCAGAGCAACTTCTCATCACAAAATGACGCTCTTTATTACTAATGGGGCTTGGAACATTGTCAGAAGTGGGGTTTTTCATGAGGAAGGATCAATTCGCACGCTCGAANAAAGGTAAAGCATGGGTCTGACTCACACTTGTACTTGTATGATTCCATTTGTCATTGGTGGGACTAGAAAGGTGAGATATAGAGTGGAGTGCCACTTCCAAGAAACCAGAATATTAGCTCGCAAGAGTAATGTTATGCTGTGACACTTTTGGTGGCTCAGCAAAAACTATCGAAGCCTGACTGGAAATAATTCTTTATCCGCCATCAGCCCTGATCTTACGATATCCAAATACCATTTAGTACGGTCGCTTTAGAATTCTTTCAATCCAAAAACTTTTACCGAAGTTGACGATAGCAAATCGTATGTGGTCCAGCTTTTTGGCCAAGTGAGCGGAAGTTATGTGAAAGAGGAGTTATAGAGTTGCTAGACAAGATGTCAAAACATAACCGAACAATGAGATGCATGTCATTGACTAAGGCCCCTTCACTGGGATGATTTTTTTCGTGGAGCCCTCAGAAATCGTACGTAGTAACACAACGGAGAACGACAGAAGTTAGGAGTAGGAGGTTTGAACGTAGAGGAGAGTTACCTTCCAAACATCTTAATATTATGATGCATTTCACTGCACTTATATTGTCGTTCTCCGTTGTGTTATTATTTTATTGTTTGACGGAAAAACGAATTACCCAACTACAATTTCATTCCACGTGCAATTTTCGCTGGATAAGGAAGTCGGTTTTAAAGACAGAAATCGATTCTTCTAAATCGTAATGTGAACTTACCGTCGTTTTGTTCGATTTCTTGGCTTTCGTCATTTTGCAAAGATAGCGATTTGTAACTTTTCCCGTTTTCAAATCGCGATCGAGGTTCTGAGAACTCATACACAATAGAGCCGCACATGAACTGCCATACGCGCGAAAAAAGAAAACCGTACGAGACCTGTAACATTCAGTGCCTTGGGGGAAGTCAAAAGCAACGTCTTTCCCATTAATTAATTTATTTATTCAATAGATAAATAGATTTATTAGTCCAAAGAGTTCAGAGTGCATTATTCTTGCCGACTTTACGACCCGGATTTTGTGATTAAGTTATCCTGTTCAATATTCCTGCAGTCACATTTTAATCAGATGCATCAACATCTGGTTTGAACGTAGAGGTATCTGCTTTTGATCTACGAGATCAATCGAGTACTAAAAGCGCTCCCCAGTTCGTTTGAGCCCCACCACCAATTTACGATACGCTAGAGACATACTCCCATCTCCAGTCTTATGTGTAAGTGTGCCACAATTTTTTTTGAACGTGCAACCTTTATAAAACCGCAGTCACCACCTGAATTTGCACCAGATGAAGAGCAGCTAGAATTGATCAAAACATGATGCTATAGTATAGCACGCAAAATTAGATGACGTGCGGAAAGACAATCTTCTCGTCTTCTTCCTCTCCTCCTTAGCATTCATTCCGCGCCATCGCTAGGTCCGCTGTTCTTAGAAGCCGCCTCCATTTCGGTCACCCTGAATTCAGCCAAGACCTTCTTGATGACGTCGCGTCAACAATTTTTTGGAGCCCCTCGCGGTCACTCCCTTCGGACCTCGGGCTCCATCGCCTTTCTTGCGAGATGAACCAATGCCTCTTTCATGGTCAACACATGCCCACGTGCGAGGAAGACAATATGAGCTAATTCAATCTATTGAGCATTTCAAACACTACTCGAATAAGATTTTGGTAGAATGAAGTCGGTCCAATTTCAAAGACACGTTTGAAGAACGAAGGTGGGGTAACCATCGAAGCAAGTCTTTACAATGCGTCTTAGTGGCCCATTTTATCAAGATTCTCGGCTAGCTTTTCAACTGTTGCACGCAGTAAAGCTGACCTAAGAGGCAGCGATCAACACTGTGAACTTTGTTTTCGAAAAACCACTCTTGCCTTTTTTGGCAATGATGAGGTTTTTTCATCGGGTTGCACCGTAGAGTACCTTTTCGAGTTCATCAGCTTGCGCCGGAACATCAATCAGGTCATCGAACAGTCGACGAAATTCTCAACTCGGCATCAATGTCGGCGAATGTCTTTGGATCTTGAGAACGAACTCATGCAGAGAGACCGGCACTTCCAGCAAATGGGGCTTTTGTAATGGTCGGTGACCCCTCTGACGTTTTCGTCGCAGCCAGACATGTTTTCGAACTTGGGTTATTGAATCAGTTGAACTCCCAGCGGAGTATTTTCTGTGGATCCAGAGTAGCCATACCGAACGTCTTCGATACTGTACTTCCATGAACGCTCTACGTTTGGTACAGTGATCAGATTCCAAGCTTTCCTCATTACTGGTTCTGCTTTTGCTGCTTTTGCGTGTTTTATGAAATTCCTTTGCAACACTATCTTGAATTTTCGTCTCATCGAATTTTGTTTTTATGGTATTTGAAACGAACGGAAAATCGATAGGTAACTTACAGCAGGGATGGTGAGAAGTTGGAACATCATGGAGGTTATCATAAGTGTAGTGAAGATAACCAATCGGAGACGTCTTCCGCAATTCGTTGTCGATCCAATTAATAATGGTACCAACAAGTAATACTGTAACTCAACTCCAAGTGACCACGTATGCACAAAAAAGCGATATTTGGATAACTGAAAAATGCTTTAAATGAAGGGGATCTTGTCTAGAACAGCAGAACAGTACAAGGCATGCAGGAGGTCCGATGAACAAGTCTGCAGTCTGATCAACAATTCACTTTGCTGCTTTGAGTGAGCTGCCATCCTGTACGGCTCCCCAA